TCACTGAGTCTTAGTTTCCATGTTTGTAAAATCATAATTAAAGTGTCATTCCTATCTAGAGTACAGGACTGCTATAGAAATCAAGTAAGACAGCCCACCATGTCAGCACATGAATTCTTGATGAATTAATTAATCAATGGGGCAGTACTTTGAAAATTAAGCCATAAATAAACGTGAGATGTTATTTGTATCAGCACAACCATAGAATCTATATTCCTAGAAATTTAAGGAAAGGTAGAGAGTTTTATGGGGGATGCTTGCACTGTGGTGGTGCCATATTTTGGGCCCCTCACATATATATTTTGGGGATAGGGGTGTGCAAATCTTCACTTTGGCCAAGGCCACAGACTCTATGAAGTCATATAAGGGAATGTTTTTAATATAAAAGAAATAGAAAGTATTCTACTCACCTGCTTTTAAAATTAAGAACAGGAAATACAGAACTTTATTCAAGAAATATAAAACAGGAGGCAGCAGAAAATAGTGGAAGGAACATGGAACTCTCTAACAGTAAGGAGACTTGAGCTCTGGTTACTGTCATGCCAGTAATTAACTGCAAAGCTGCAACATCTGCCAAATGAGGGGAGTATATTAGAAGACTTTTAGAGTCTCTTCCAAGTCAAAACATCATAGCACCAAATGAAATATAAAAAATAATCTAAAATATGCTTTGATTTTTCTATGTTATGAACAATTATTGGAAAGGGCAAAAACAGGGTACTGAATGAGAAAGATGGACAGAAAGAGAAAGATCAATGAATGGTAAGGAAAAAACACGGAGACCAAGAGGCAGACACACACAAATTCTTCCCCCAACTCCCCCCGCCTCTAGAAAATGTATGAATAAAGAGACAAAAGAAAAACACACACTAACAAAAAGACATTCAGATACAGAAGTAAATATGCACATAGAGACTTTGGTGAAGTAATGCTCTTATTTTGTTCATCTTGAAACTTTTAAACACGAAACTACAAAAAAAATTTATGTAATGTTGTACTTTTTAAATTAAAAGGCATAAATGGAACCAGTTCAAGGCAGGGCCTCATAAGCTAGATACAATCAAGTTGAAGGTTGAAGATTACCTACTTCTGCCATATGCTACTCATATTAATTTGAAATCTCACATCCCTGGGTCATTTCCAACCAAACAAGCCAAAGATGAATTTTCCTAAAATAGAAAAGTATCCCAAGAATTTTTTTATAAATCAGGGCTTAGCATTACTTTGCTTCCAGATAGGCAGGATTTAAATATTTTAACTTTATAGTTACCAACTAGGTAAAGTGTAAATCCCACATTGCTATTTCAAGTCCATATTTGGGGATTTTCCTATTAATCTCTGTATTGTGTAGAGGGCACCAGAAAATGCAACTCCAGAATTCCCCTTTGATTCTCTCCCAGATGAGGCCTATCCAACCTTCTTGCTTTTCTAAACTCTGAGCCTCTACAGGAATTTATAGATTGAGAAGCTAATTTGTACTTCGGTACTAATCAGCATACAGAAGAATAGAGGGGTCTCTACCCAGTTTCAGGCCTGCTGTTGCAGGATGGTGCGTAATCCCCACTCACTGTGAAGACAGCCCGGATTAACAAGAATGGGTAACACACAGTCTCCAGATATTTATTCCCAACTCTGTGAACAATCTGCTAGGAACTCTGCAAAATTACATGAATTTTCACATTTGAAGAGAGAAAACCACTATTCAGACCTCTCTTTGCAGGATTCATAGGAAGCTTTTCTCTCTTGTAGACAATAAGAGCTAGGGAGAAAAGAAAAGAAAAAAAAAAAAAACCCACAGGATTTTGCTGGGTTTTTTTGGCTTTAGCCAAGGTCTTGAACCTTTCTGTAGTTCGGTTTCTCTGTCTATGAAATGGAACTGAAACAATCCCACTCCTTCCCAACAAACTTGATGTTGGAGAAATAATACAGCAAATATAAAAGCACTCATAAGTCTTTGAAAGATGGGGGTTAGACCAATTCAATCCAAATGACTGACACATTCATCAATAATAATAATAATAATAATAAGCACAAGAATTCATACAGAGTTTAACAGTTTATAAAACATTTTAAATGTATTATTTCTTTGGTCCTTATTACAAGGTGTGAAAAAGGGAGGCCATTTCTTTATGTCATTGGACAGATGAAGAAATTGAGGCCAAGAGAAGGAGAGTGACTTGTCCAAGATCAAACAGCTACTTAGTAACAGGACATGTCTCCTGACAGGAAGTCTAGTGCTCATTCTAGCACTCCTAACTGTATATGTAGTTATTGCCTATTTCCTTTTCATTCCTGTCCTCCTCCGAGTGAGTCTTGCTTGGAAGGAGGCCTCTAATTAGCAATCAGTTTTCTATTTCTCATTTATAGTTATAGTCCATCAACTATTGTAAAGACTTTAAATGTCTTGAAATTCCCCTTCAGCCAGTATCTGTGAACTCTATGTCTGTTTAATTCCTGAGTCATCCAAGCACTAAACCTTCATTTTGAATACCACTATTTATAAATTTTGCTATTTCTCCTTATCGTCACATCACATCTGAGCCACAGATATATCCTCTAGGTCTTTCTTTATATAGTGTCTTCATCAACAGTTTCTATTCATCTATGGTATTTTTATGGTGTTCTTCATTGGTATCCCCTCAAGCCCTTTTGTAAGTCCTTGAAACCATGATAGACCTAAGTATTCTTACAGTGATTTATTTCTATAAGAATCTGCTAAATCTTTGAACTCGGAGAAAATGTGCGAGCAGACTAAGGTAATCTCAAACAGCGAGTAAGAGTTCATCCTCTTTAATTCCTATTGCTCAGTTTCCTTTATCAATGTTATTTATGTTGTTTTCCTCAAATTCCTAAAAAATGATGAGGAGTTGGCTTTGTTTTTTGTTTGGGGGGGGGATTGGTGGTTGTTGTTTTTTTTCCTTTGCCCACTTTCAATGTTTCCTCTTTGGGCCAGAAATCTCAGCACTTAGAATGGCCAGAGTATCCTGGTATGAATAATTCCACTGAATGTGACCACTCTAAACTATGCTGAGCCATAAGACCAGGGCCCACCTTTCCTATGGAAGTCAGAAGAAGAAGGGACCAGGAGAAAAAAAGAACTGAAGGAATGCTTCTAAGTAAAGTTAATTCTGGGTAATAGCTCACTAGACACTGGCTGCCTTGTCTTGATCTCCAGAATCTGAGCAATGTACCCAGAAACTGCTTGTGCAGATTATGGCTTCAGCCCCAAAGAATGGAGGAAGTAAAAAGAGGAGAAGGCATATGTTATTTCATAACAGGTGTGTTCTGTGATTCTAGCCCCCAGACTAAAGGCTATAGAGTAGCTCTGAACAGTGGAGTTGACAAATTTTATTCAAGACACAGATACTGATCACCTATTATGTGTTCTGTGTTGGGGACAAGGGATAAACTCAGTTTCATGAACTCATTTAATACATTTTACAGATAATAAAATTGAGGAGGAAGGGTGACTGACACATGTCAAAGTCATACAGATACCCAGTAGTGATGATCCAATTGGAACCCGTCTTAGCCCATTTGTGCTGCTATAACAAAATACCACAGGCTGAGTAATTTATAAACAAGAGAAATTTATTTCTTTTTTTTTTTTTTTTTTTGTCTTTTATCTTTTTTCCGTGTCCGGCAACGGATCGCAACCCTCAGTGTTGCCCCCGTGCCGGACCGGGGACCGGCAACGGGATCGCAAGCCTCGGCGTTGCTCCCGCGCCTCGCTCAGCCAGTGAGCGGGAACCGGTCTGTACATGGGATCCGAACCCTCGGACGGGAGCGCCTCCGCGCTTCCCAAGCGGCACACTATCCAGTGCGCCACCAGGCCGGCCCAGAGAAATTTATTTCTCATACTTATTTGAGAAATTTATTTATTTGAGAATTTATTCCTCAAATTTAGTTCAAGAGGCTGGAATTCCAAGATCAAGGTGCTGGCAGGTTAAGTGTCTGGTGAAGGCTGCTCTCTGCTTCCAAGACGGCACCTTTCTGCTGCATCCTACAGAGGGGATAAACCCTGTGTCCTCACATGGTGGAAAGGATGGAATGGGTGAACATATCCCCTCAAGCCCTTTTATAAGTCATTAATCCATTCATGAGAGCAGAGCCCTCATGGCCTAATCACCTCCTAAAGGCCTCACCTTTTAATACTGTTCTATTGGGGATTAAGTTTCAACATGAATTTTAGAGGGAACACCATCAGTCAAACTATAGCAGAACTCAACTGCAAACATAGTACTCTGGCCTCCACAGCACAATCCCTACCTTTATGGCTTTTATAGTTCATTGGAACAGGTGGGTACATACCCAGATGACCCTAAAGAAAAAAAGACAGAAGTTGATGGGGATGGAAACAGTTATTTGGGCTGCCTTATGCACTTAACAGGATGTTATCACATTCCCTGCCTCCCTAGTTCTAAAGACTATACTGACGGGACAAATAAAGCACCCTGAGATGAGAGGAGGGTAAGGATACAGACAGATTCTCTGGATATTTGTCTATGTACTCACAGGGACATTGTCCCACCTATAGAATTATACACAGTGTTAAGAATTGTTAAGGGCTGAGCCCGTGGCGCACTCGGGAGAGTGCAGAGCTGGGAGCGAAGCAACCCTCCCGCCGCGGGTTCGGATCCTATATAGGAATGGCCGGTGCGCTCACTGGCTGAGCACGGTGTGGGCGACACCACAGCAAGGGTTGCGATCCCCTTACCGGTCACGAAAAAGACAAAAAAAAAAAAAAGAATTAATTGTTAAGAATTGGGTTAATTAATTTTCTGGGTTCTGTTTAATTTTTTTAGGGTCTCAAGAATGTGCTCAAGTCATCCATGTGTTTCCATCAAACACAGAGATCAGAGAAGATTAAACTCTACTAATCACTCACTGTAAGCCTCAGAGCAAATTGCTTCCCAAGAACTGATAGCCAAAATTTCCACCTATATGTAACATAAGCAGGGTTAGAAAATCTCTTCTTACAATAAATATTGTGTGATACAATGGAAGTTTCTCCAAACCACCCAGCAGCATCTAATAAAACCAGTGCAAAGAGCAACAACTCTGCATTTTTCTACTTTGAGTCCTGTCAACCCCCTCCTCTAGCCTTACTCCTATTACTCATAGCCTATACTGTGGTTTTAATCATGGGCCTTTTTGGAAACCTCTCTCTCATCATCATCATCTTTAAGAAGCAGAGGGAAGCTCTGAATGTCACCAACATACTGATTGCCAATCTCTCTCTCTGACATCTTGGAGTGTGTCATGTGCATCCCTTTTACTGTCATCTGCACTCTGATGGACAACTGGATATTTGGGGATACCATTTGCAAACTCACCTCCTATGTGCAGAGTGACTCCATCTCCATGTCCATATTCTCACTTGTTTTAATTGCTGTTGAAAGATCTCAGCTGATTGTAAACCCCTGTGGCTGGAAGCCCAGTGTATCTCTTGCCTACTGGAGCATCACACTGATTTGGCTATTTTCTCTTCTGTTGTCTATTCCCTTCTTCCTGTCCTACCACCTCACTGATGAGCCCTTCCGCAACCTCTCTCTCCCCACTGATTTCGATGCTCACCAGGTGGCTTGTGTAGAGAACTGGCCCTCCAAAATGAACCAGCTCTTCTTTACCACCTCCCTGTTTATGGTCCAGTATTTTGTCCCTCTGGGCTTCATCCTCATCTGCCACCTGAAGATTGTTATCTGCCTCCGTAGGAAAAATGGAAACGTAGACAGGCAGAGCAAAAATGAGAGCCGGCTCAGTGAGAACAAGAGGATTAACACAATGTTGATTTCCATTGTGGTGACCTTTGGAGCCTGCTGGCTGCCCTTGAACATCTTCGATGTTATCTTTGACTGGTTATCATGAGGTGCTGATGAGCTGCCACCATGACCTGATATTTGTAGTTTGCCACTTGGATGCTATGGTTTCTACATGTATAAACCCTCTCTTTTATGGCTTTCTCAACAAAAAGTTCCAGAAGGACCTGGTGATGCTTATTCACTACTGCTGGTGTTTTCCAACTCAGAAAAGATATGAAAATACCGCCATCTCCACTATGCACACAGATGAATCCAAGGACTCTTTAAGATTGGCTCATATCCCAACAGATACATAAAAATTGATACACTTAATGCTAAAGCCCTTCTTCAACGGAAGATAGAAAGGTAATGACTGGGAATAGGACAAGATGCAGAAAGAAAAAGACGGTACCAAAAAATAGCAACTTTATACCCAGTTTTGCTGTAGTCTAAGCCTGTCTGTCTCATATATCCATCCAACACACTCTACAACACACACAAATACATCAAAAGATACACACCACCCCTTTTCTCTTTTCTTAGGTGAATAACTCTAATAACTCAAACAACCTAGTTGCCATCATTTGTGGTAGAGGATGGGAGAAAGCAGAGTGGTGAGCAGCAGTGATGGCTGGGGAACAAAGTTTTCTGAACCTGTTATTCAGTGGAATATCCACAAAAGTTATTAGTAATGATATACCTACTAAAAACAATGCTATACCTCCTTAGCATTAAAGGAATTTCACTTTCAGATATGGAAACTGTAACTTTCAACAATATAACTTCAATTTATTAGTCAACTAAGAAAGTCCCCCATGATAATTTATTAATTTGTTAATAAACTAAGTTTATAAGTTATAATTATAAGTCATAACTGTTAAACATTTAACATTAAACTAAGTATTATAATTACGATTAATTCACATGCCTGAATCAGATTCTGCAGTTTATAACAGCACATTTTCTTCACTAACAATGCTCTAACAGCATTACTAGAACTGGCCACAAATTCTTTAGCACTCCAATTATGCTAGAAATCATTTACACTAGCTTATTAATGGCCAATGTACATAGAGCTTTATTAAAAAATGGCTTTTTTATTTCTAATTAATTATTTATATTATGTAGGAGTCATTATGACTCTATCATTGGGTGTGTGGGACTTTGTCAGTAGCACTTTTATAATTAGCTCCAGATTTGTTAAAAACTTCTCATATATCTATGACAAACATTTTTAAAAGATCCCTCACCCCCACAGAGTCACTTACATAGGGGAATTAGCTAGATTGTTTTCAAAAAACTATTAAGCTTCTGTTCAAATAGCCATTAGATCAGTGACTTTTAGTAAAACATTACTTGCTCTATCGCTTCCTTAGATAAACCTCTTTTACCTATTAAATCTGAACTGCAGCTTATTTGTATATTAAAAATGTAACTATATTTGCTTCTGAACAAAAGGTAATGTTTCTCTGAATACCTGTGACTTTTTTCTATTGCATTATTTTTCTTGCACATTAGCCTTCATGTTTTCCCCTCCTGAAAAATCTCTCTCTCCTTCCTCCCTCTATCTCTCTCTTTTCATTGTCTTTGGGATTTCTACTCTCTTATATAACATTTTGGGATAAATGAATAACAAAAAGCACTGTAGGACCCCCAAGTAAAATAAAAGGTAACAGTCTGACAGCTGCAAATACTCTTATCTAAAAACCCACTTCAATGGTGTCAGTTTTAGAACCCTAAAGGTACAAGACTGCAGCCCCTTAGCCCAGGAAGCAGTCAGTCTCCCTAGGTACCTTTTCTATCTCTTCTGATAGTGATTAGTCCTAAAATTGATATTTTACTTACTTGGTAAAGAGGTATCAATTCTAGTTTCTATTACTAAAATGATTCTGATCAAACCACTGAAAGTAGGAAAAGGCATCCAACTCTAATGCTGCTCCCTCCCCTCACCCAAACACATTATATCCAGTCTCCTCTAACCCTGACTCCCACCCTGCACATTCAGAAGAGATCTCCAATATATAACTAAATATTATGGGGTCTTTTCTGGCTCCATGGTAAGAGTAATTTCCTTCTATAAAGCTGTTTTGTTTTTTCTTTTCAACTTTTTTTTGAGTGCTAATAAAACAAAAGTCACTAATGGTATAACTATCAATAATAGTCTTGTATTTATTTTTACCTCAAAGTAGTAGTAAATTAAGTGTACTTTTTGAATGCATGCCTTTACCTTTAAGGGACTTACATTCTGACAGATAGGAGAACACAGGTTTGTAAGTAACTACCTAAGAAGATATAATAGAAATATAAATCAAGTGTTGTGGGGGCCTAGCAGAGGCAAAACTCATATATGAGAGGAAACATGGAAAGATTTCAGGAAAATCAGCCTCTTGTTGCAGTTTTTTAGATGGTCCACACCAACTTGGTCTACCGTTGAGCCACCTGGTGAATGAAATAAGGCCTCATCTTCTCATCTGCCTCTCCCCAGTTGCCAGATGGTCTCTGCTTAAGTGAGTTCTCTCTTTTAGGAATGTGAAACTGAAACTTCATGATGTTTGCCAGATAGCCCTGGAAACAGATTGCTCTAGCCAGTACTCAAAAAATCTTCAATCCCCTGACTTCAAATCATTTTGGATTGAGAGAAATTTCTCATATCTTTAAAAGTTTCTAGAAAAGAAGACTATTAGTGGAATGAATATGTGTTTATCTATACTCAAAAAATTAGTAAATTATTCTGAATGTGTCTGTCCAGTGAACCAGAGGTGAATTAGAAAATGCCAAAACTTCCTTGAAACAAGTCCCCTAAGTTTTCTCTCTGCCTATTCCTAAAATATCTCCAGCAGTAATACCCAGACAATTTCAAAGAAAAAGAATCAACAACATAAATTATTCAGAATAAGGGATACTCAAATGTGGTTTAAATGCATATAATGCAGATTTTTCTGCAATGGAATTTGTGATATTCTTAAAAAGGAATAAGAAACTTGATGAAGCAACATACATGAGGCCTCAACTCAAAGAAGGTGCTGAAAATGAACATCATAGTTCATCAGCCTAATTAAAAGGGTCAATCTCTCTTCATATAAGCTTTGATTTTTGTAGAATAATAAATCAAGAAAAATATATTAAGCCCTTACTATGTATTTAGCACTGTATTAGGTACAGAAAAAGTGTAAGACAGCTTTAAAGACTTTATAATCCAGTTGAAGCTTTTAAAGCCTAAAATATACCAGAGAGGTAATTCAGTCTTAGTTTTGAAGGCTTTCCTTCTTTTTTTTAATTTATGGTTTTTATTAGAGTTTACTTAACAAATAAAAACTATATATTTGCTGTGTTCATTTTTTGATATATGTATACATTTTGAAATGGTTATATTAAGCTAATTAACATATCCATCATCTCACATGATTTTCATTTTCCGTGTGTGAACATTTAAGATCCACTCTTACTCTCTTAGCAATTTTATTTATTTTTAGCATCTGGCCACGATAGGGATCCAAACCTGTGACCTTGGTGTTATAAGGATGAGCTCTAACCAACTGAGTTAACTGGCCAGTCCTTCTCTTTGCAATTTTCAAGAATGAAATACATTGTTATTAACTACAGTCACCATGATGCACAATAGATCTCTTAAATTTATTCCTCCTGTCTAACTGAAATTTCGAATCCTTTGACCAAAATCTCCCCAATTCCTCCAGTCCACCCCAAGCTCTTGGTAACTACCATTCTATTCTCTGCTTAAGTGAGTTCAACTTTTTTTTAGATTCTACATATAATTGAGATCATGCAGTGTTTGTCTTTCTGTGCCTGGCTTATTTCACTTAGCATGATGTCCTACAGGATCATCCATGTTGTCACAAATGACAGGACTTCCTTCTTTTTTAAGGCTGAATAGTATTCCCTTGTGTGTGTGTATATATGTATAGGTTGATTCCACATCTTCACTGTGGAAGCAGAGAGAGCAGAGAGAGAGCCAGACAGACTCTCATCTTCTTTTAAAGCCCTCAGAACTACGCCCCTGACCACCATTTTTAATCCATTCACTACTGCATGGTCCTACAATCCAATCACCTCTTCAAAGCTCCACCTTTCAATTACCATAAGAGGATTTCCCACTTTCTTAACAATCACAGAGGGGGCTAAGCTTCTAATACATAAAACTTGGGGGACACAATTCAAGCTTCAATGAGTTTTGGAGGGACATAATTCAATCCGCTATAACCACCAACAGCGTACAAGCATTCTGAAGGCTTTCCTTTGGGCTAGGTTAAAAGCTGCCTAAAAGAGAGTTAAGAGTAACCGAAGACAGAGTTAATATTAAAGGAGGACTCAATTTATTTTTATACCTATACATGAGAATACACTGAGAAAGAGAGAGGGAGCATCCTAGGTGGGGGGGGGGGGTTGTGAGTATTTCAAGACTCATATGTCCAGGAATTCCTAAAATCTTCCCTGAAGGCACCCCCCATGCAATAGAAGTGCTCATGCAATGAACAATGAAAGAAGAGAAGATGAACATTTCCAGTGGGCTATGGAGGGCAAGGAAGGTCTCTTTCTCCTGTTTCTGTGCCCAAATCAAACTCCTAGTTGAGGCTTAGATGGTCGTTCCCCTGAGGGGGAAGGGAAAACATATGTGGTGCTGGTGACAGGAACGCATCCATCTTGCATCTGGTCATTGACTGTTTCCTATTCTCTGTTGTGGGTAAATAAATTTGTTCTTCTCAGCGAGACTGAGAATTTTCTGAGACCTTGTCCTACATCTCTTATTCCTTCTATACCAGCCTCCCCACTGCCCCCCAGAATGTATAAGATAGGTCTAGGAAAGGAAAAGCATTAATACATACAAATTTAAAAAGTTATTTCTTAAAGAAATAAGTTAGGCAGTAATTACTTAATTACTGAATGCCTGAATGTTTTCAAACCTATATTTTATTAATTATTCAATGAGAGCATAAAGACATAATCCACAGAGATTACAGTAATGTCAGTAAGCCATGAGATCTTCAGTCCTTAAGGATTCTGCTTAAACATTTCTCAATAATCTTCTCTAATTATCCAGAACTATTAGGATTCCCTAGCCACTGCTCCCATGGTACCTTATGTATACCTACCATGTACTACCATGAAGACTTGTTTACATGTGTGCCTCACCCACAAGACATAAGTTTCTTGAAGGCACAGACTGGTGTCTTATTCACTGTAGTGGCTCCAGTGCCAAGCACAGCATCTGGAACAGAGTGGCAGGCTCAATAAATACTTATAAACTGTAGATGTAGAATAATATCTGGGAATAACAAATCTTTGCTTGAAAGTGGTGGAT